GTGTGCGCCCAGCCTCCTCCGCAGCACACCCCAAACACCGCCCCGTCCCAGCTGCTGGGGGGGAGGGGGGAACCAACGCTGTCCCAGCACAGCAACAGAGTGATAACTGCTAACAGGCCAACCCTGCAGCCAGCACCAACACGTGCCGTGGAAGTCCGCCTCAGGAGGAACAATGGGATTGTGCCAGGGGACTCACACAGATAAAAGGAAAACGTCAATATGCATAATATTGCACATAATCTTAAATTTCAGCGTGAGTCGTTTTATCTCCAGCACCTGATAAATGAACAAAAGCTCTGAAATGCTTAAAAAAATGACCGAATTCACGGGTCAAGGCAAAAAAGCAACTGGTTAAGAAGGCAAACGCTATACCTGTCCTGAGAGAGAGAAAACAAGAATTAAGTAAATAACAACCACCAGACAAGACAGCTGAGCAAAACTAGAAGCGAATGTGTCAGGACATTTTACCCCCAGACCTGTGCCGGTGTAGAAGAGAGGTGGTGTCTACTGTTGGCAGAGAAAAAGGAGCTACTTAGGAAGATCAGTCAAAGATGAAGGTCTCCTGCTCTGAGCAGCCCTCTGGAAAACCCCTTCTCCCCACATACAGCGGAAGAACATGAGCTTCATCTGGCTAAAAGGCACCCAGGCTCAAGGGGCCAGCTAGACGAGCCAGCTCACCTCCTTGGTCTCCTCTGCCAAGAGTGAAAAGCCCAAAAACCCCATGCAGGAACGAGGACTGCTCTCCCACGGTGTGGTCTGAGGTGTCAGCTGCATTCCCAACGGTACGGATTAGGGCTTGGTGTAGCGATTCTGGCCGGGAGATGACTGTGCGTTGAGGAGCTCGTGACACACGTAACCGTTAACAGCAGCAAGCCCAGCGCCATGCTGCACCCCCAGCCCGGCCTTCAGGCCATGCCGTGCTGCACACATCCTTCAGCCACAGGACAAACCCAGCAGGACAACCCCAACAGGCACGTGCACGCAGCTCCCTGTCCACACCAGGACATCCACCTCCGTGTCCCTGCCGTTAGCTAAAAGCACATCAACGAGTTCTTGTGTGACATCTTTTCTGTTTGACAGCGGGAGTGATGAAAAGGCTGGTTTTCCTGTAAAACACCCCAACGTGCAGCAGTTCCGTGAGGAAAATGAGGTAATCCTGCAAGGACAGGTCTGCACAGCGCGCTGCGCAGGGATCAGAGGCTCGCTCAGCACGGCACAGCTCGGAGCTCCCAGCGTCCAAAGGGATGTAAGACTACCTGTATTGTTTGCTTGGTCCTTATAGTGGGAGCTCTTAAACAGCATTTTAATTTATGCTTTACAGAGTCTGTTTGCCTTTAATGGGACCGTGACAGACTAGCACCTTCTGGTGCAAAACACTTTGTTCTGCACGTGTACCCTCCATCCTGCACTAAGCAGAGATGATGGCTTTTTGTTCAGAATACCACCATTTCCTAAAACCTTACCTTGCCAGTGAGGTGCAGATGCTGGCAGAGCGCCTTCTGCCACGCACAGAGTTTCTGGGGATCCTTCACCTCACAGTAACAGTAATACAGAAGTACTTCTCCCACCTTGCTGTCCACGGCGTGGCCAAGAGGAACAAAAAGGAAAAGGATGTTAGAGTTAAAAGCACAGAAATACACTGTTAGAAGCAATCATTCAAAAAGCAGACCATTTTTTTCTGGCAGATACGAGGAGAAAACCAAAGTAAAGGCAACTTTGGAGGGATTAGCGCTGCTGGGTTTGATTTATTTCAAAGAGAAAGAATCTGACCTAAAAACCCCTCCCACGTTGTATTCTCCAGGCTGGTCACAGAACGAGCTCATCTGTACTGCACGGGACACCTCTGCCAGCAGCCTACCCTGTGCTCTACGCACGTCTCCCACAGCACGCAGGACTGCTGCCTCCTGTGCACACCAGCGTCCCCTTGCACGCTTAATTCGACAAACGTGCTGTCATGGTTTAACCTGGCTGGCCATGAGGCACCACACAGCCCCTCACTCACCTCCCCCCTCCTCCAGTGCAGGAGGAGAACCAGAGGAAAA